AGTAGATAGAGTTCATGGCCCAGCCTGGAGACCAGGCGTTAAGAGCTGGCTCGACGCCGGGTGCCATGGCTCACACCTGTAATCCCAGCATTTAGGGATGTCGAGGCGGGTGAATCACACGGTCAGGAGTTCAAGACCACCCTGGCCAACATGGTGAAACCCCGTCTCTACTAAAAATATAAAAGTTAGCTGGGCATGGTGGTGGGCGCCTGTAATTCCAGCTACTCCACAGGCTGAAGCAGGAGAATCTCTTGAACCCGGAGGCGGAGGTTGTGGTGAGCTGAGATCGCACCACTGCACTCCAGCCTGGGCAACAAGAGCAAAAAGCTCCATTTCAAAAAAAAAAGAAAAAAGAAAAAAAGAGCTGACTCTAATCATCTCTCTGAGGTAGGTGCAGAGGCATGAAACTTGCTTGAGGAACCTGGAGGAGGGAGAGGGCTGCTCTGTAAGTGGAGCGGGGGGCTGGTGAGTGCGTCCTGGAAGGTATATTGCAGCGGAGGCGCCCTTTGGGCCAGGACTCGAAGGTCAAGGAGCATTTTGCTGGGGCAAGGGGGACAGATCCACATTCTGGAGGACTTTCCCTGTGCCAAGTGCTTTGCAGACATTGCCTCATGACTGCCTTGTGAAGAGGTGCCATTATGAAACTCATTTTACAGACAAAGAGGCTCGGAGAAATTAAGTTCCTAGCCCAGGGTCACATAGCCTGGCATTGACAGAGCCAGAATTCAAATCCAGATTTGAATTTGTTCCCCAGATTCACTCTTTCTACTCTTCAGGCACCCTCAACAAATGGAAAGAGGTAAGAAGGCAATCCAGGGTGCACCTGGAGGTGCGCCAGAAACTGGTGGGCCAGGCTACACGTTCAAGATAGGAAATTCAAGAACAGAATCCCCCAGAGCATGGCCCTCTGTGCAAAAGCAGGGCTAGGTTTCTGCAGGCTGGGAGGAGGAGGAGTGAAGGCTGAAACTGCTGAGCTGTGAGTGATTTTCCAGGGGGCCTGTCCCCACCCACTGGCTCTCAGGAGGGGCCCTGGTTCTAGGTCTCCAGAGCTGCAGCAGCACCAGTTTTAGGGTGAATAAAGGTTGTGTGTGGGCAAGGGGTGAAAATCCTCCCCGCTCTAGGGGCTGACGCTGAGATCTTTCCGGGATGGCCTAAAGCCCCCTAAGATAAGGACCCCTTGAGATCACATATCCAGAAGCCATCAGACACCATCAGCATCCATCCTTGGAAGGAAACACACCCTCCCCCGAGCAGGTGGGAGTGTAGGCTGGGCTGGGACCAGAAAATCTCCTTGGGGCATCAGGGACCGGCCCTGGCAGCCAGGCTCACCAGACACATGTCCTGTGCCCATCCTAACAACGGCCCCTCGTCATCTACCCCTCATCTCCTCTCTTTAAATAAATCCAGGTTGAAAGAGAAGCTGGGGGAGCCACCGGGGAAGTTCAGACTGATGCTTTGTGGCTACCTTGTGTCCTTAACGGCTGGGGGCTGGCAGTGGCCACAGGGACCCATGTGGCTCAGAGTCCCACTGGATTCAGGAATTCAAATTCAGGAAATAAATGTGGGTTCCCTGGAAGGGAGGTAACATCTGAACGCCCGCTGCCTTTGCCAGCTTTATGTACACAGCACATGCTGTCTTCTTCATCTCCGAGAGGAGCCTGTGAAAGCTCTGTTTTCCAGATGAGAAAACGGAGGCTCCGCAGCATGAAATGACTTGCCCAAAGCCACAGTTACTGAGAGGTGGAGCCAGGCTTCCAGCCTCTCTATGTCTGACCTATACTCTCAGCTATCAGCCCGTACGACTGTCCCCTACTCCACTCCACAAGTCACACATATGATGCTTCTGAGTCTCAACGTCCTTTCGAACTCCCATCTATCTTCACCCCTAGTCAGGGAGATGCTACTCTTTCATTCCATTCTCTCAGCTAAGCTCTGGGCCAGGTCGCATTCCCTGGTGGAGGATACAGAGGCCTGAGCCACTGAGTTTGCGGCAACAATTCGTAGTTGATTATGCTCAGATATCAGTGCTGTCCTCAGGCTTGGAACAAAGTACTCTGGAAAAAACAGAGTTAGGAGGGAATAACTGACTCCAAAGAACAGGGGACAACTGGGAAGGGTTTTAGAGGATGAGTAGGAGTTCTCAGGAGTAAGAAATCAATGGAAAGATACCTCTTTCCAGGTCTTTGCCAAACGACCTGAGAGATCACACTGGCACCTCTCCAGAGGATGAGTGGGCTGGAAGAAGAGGTTAAGTAAGGCAGTGACCCACCTCTTTCTCCATCCCTCCCCACCACTCCTCCCCACCATACACACACCACACACACATGCATACAGGTACGCACATACACCACACACATACATACCTGTACACACACACACACACACACCACACACACACATGCATACAGGTACACACATACACCACACACATACATACCTGTACACACACACCCACACCATACACACACCACACACACATGCATATAGGTACACACACATACATACCTGTACACACACACACACACACACACCACACATGCATATAGGTACACACACCACACACATACCTACCTGTACACACACACACACACACACACACACACCACACACATGCATATAGGTACACACACCACACACATACATACCTGTACACACACACACAGACACCATACACACACCACACACACTGCTATGAGTTGTTGAATTGTTCCCCTCCTCTTAAAACAGTCCTCATTTCCAGTACCCCAGAATGTGACCTTATTTGGAAATAGGGTCTCTCTCAAGGCAATCAAGTTAACATGAGGTCATTAGGGCAGGCCCCAATTCAATATGACTGTTGTCTTCACAGAAGGGGGAAATTTGAACACAGGCACATCTACATAAAGAGAACGCCATTTTAAGATAAGGCGGAGCCTGGGACAATGTTTCTACAAGTCAAGAAATGCTCAAGATTGCCACCAGAAGCTCAGGAGAGAGCACTTCCCCCACCCAGCCCTCAGAGGGAGCAGGCGCCACTCACTCCTGGACCTTGGACTTTGAGCCTCCAGAGCTTTAAGACAATACATTTGTTTTTTTTTGAGATGGCATCTTGCTCTGTCGAGAAGGTTGGTGTGCAGTGGTGTCATCTCGGCTCACGGCAACCTCCTCCGCCCGGGTTCAAGCGATTCTCTTGCCTCACCCTCCCAAGTAGCTGAGATTTCAGGCACCCACCACCACACGTGGCTAATTTCTGTATTTTTAGTAGAGACGGGGTTTCACCATCTTGGCCAGGCTGGTCTCAAACTCCTGACCTCACGTGATCCGCCCACCTCGGCCTCCCAAAGTGCTGGGATGACAGGCGTGAGCCACTGCGCCCAGTGGAGGCCATACTTTTCTGTTGTCCATGCCACTGAGTGTGTTGCAGCAATTCTAGTAAACTAAACCACAGGTGCGGAAATTGAGAAGAGCTTCTAGGGCATTCTGGATTAGGGGGTAAGGAGCCCACAAGAGGCAGAGATGGGTTCCTCTTTCACTTCGAGATGCCACGGAGTCTACAAGCCCACAATTGCTTCTTGGAACTGAATTTCAAGGTTATGTTGACATGGCTAGGGCTGAGGCAGCCCCCCCAGACGCAGATGACTAAAAGTTCCACAGCGATCTTCAGGGAAGCCTTTAGCATCTACCTAGAGTGCAAAAGCTGAAAAGTGACATGTGGCCGCACCCATTTTACCTCAGAGAGGTCTGGGAACCCGTCCAGGGTCACGGCGGGCATGGCGGAGCCTGGAGTCGAGGCTGGTCTCAGAGCCACCTGACAAGCGTGGGTCAACGCCAGCCCGGCGCCCATCAGCACACCCACCTTCCTGCGGGTGAGACTGAAGGCCCGAGATGTGCCGCAGACTCAAAAACTTCCTCCTTCAAGAACCAACAGCCGTGTTGTGTGAAGGCGCTGGCTGAGACTTCTTTTCTCTCTCTGCATTCCTTCTAATGTGGTTGTTGGAACGTTTTTTATAATAGGGATGACTAATGTTTACATCACATCTGAATTTTCAGCTAGCATTGGGTGGGAGGGACACAGAGTGAGTAGAATGGAGATCAATTACAAAGGAGGAAATTGTCATGACCTTGGGTAAGTCCTTATCCTGTTCCAAGGCCTCAGTTTCTCCATGGTTAAATGGGTGGGCTGGGCCCATCGAATCTTTCCACCAGTTAGCAAAATGCTTCTCAAATCAGGTCTGAGACAAAGACAATTTAAGATATGAAATTAAATGGAATTGAATAACGCAGTAAACAAATTATTCCTTTTCCAATGTTTCACTCTTGACTGCATTAAGGAGAAAGTCTCATTGTGGTGCCACCCAGTCTTTAACACCTAACACTTCATAAAACATTTCATTTTTGCAGAGATGGGGACTTGCAGTGCTGCTCTTGAACTCCTGGACTCAAGCAACTTGCCTGCCCTGGCCTCCCAAAGTGCTGGCATGACAGGCATCAGCCACCGTGCCTGGCCACCTAACGCTTTCTAATGAAGAGAGAGCCAGTTCAGGCTTGGACAGCAGGCTATGTAATGACATTTTTGTTTTTGCTGTTTTATTTGTTTATATGGATGTATTCTATTTACTAAAGTAGTATTGCTTTGAGATACGTGGTAGTGATAGAAGATTTCTAAGTTCAAATAAACTTCGGTTTAAAAAAGGAGTGGGTGGCTGGGTGCAGTGGTTCATGCCTGTAATCCCAGCACTTTGGGAGGCCGAGGGGGTGTGGATCACCTGAGGTCAGGAGTTTGAGACCAGCCTGAGTAACATGGCGAAACCCTGTCTCTACTAAAAACACAAAAATTAGCCGGGCGTGGAGGTACATGCCTGTAATCCCAGCTACTCTGGAGGCTAAGGCAGGAGAATCACTTGAACCTGGGTGGCTGAGGTTGCCGTGAGCCAAGATGATGCCATTGCACTCCAGCCTGGGCGACAAGAGTGAAACTCAGTCTCAAAAAAAAAAAAAAAAGAAAAAAATGGATTGGATGCAAGCTTCAGCAGCACATATACAAAAACTGGAATGATTCTGAGAAGATTAGCACGACCTCTGTACAAGCGTGACACGTGAATTCATGAAGCATTCCATTACTTTTGTTTCAAAAAAGAATTAAAAGAGGAGTTGATGTAAAAAATTGTTAAGTAATTGTTTATACATAAGGGGCAAATTAAATCACATCCTTCTATACCTAAAACTCTCTGATGAGCCCCCATTTTCCTTGGATTAATTCCAAACCTATCATCTATGCCCTCAAGCCCTGCCACCCTCTCCAACTCCATCTCCTTCACTCCCCCAACCGTCTGAAATCAATCTCATTCCTGCCTCAGGGACTCGGTCCTTGCTCCTCCCTCTGCCTGGAATGTCCCCTCCGTGATCTCAGCACTCCCAGCTCATCTCATCACTCAGGGCTCTGCTCAAATCCCCTTGGAGGCTCTGCCTGGGTCTTTGTTGCAACTGCTGTCAGTCCCCTTACTTGGCCTGATTTTCCTTGGTGCATATATCGCTCTCTGAAATGATACTATACATATATTTTTTTTGAGATGGAGTCTCGCTCTGCTGCCCAGGGTGGAGTGCAGTGGCGAGATCTCCACTCACTGCAACATCTGCCTCTCGGGTTGAAGTGATTCTCCTGCCTCTGCCTCCCGAGTAGCTGGGATTACAGGCATACACCACCACGCCTGGATATTTTTTGTGCTTTTAGTAGAGACGAGGGTTTCACCCTGTTGGCCAGGCTGGTCTCGATCTCCTGGCCTCGTGATCCACCCGCCTCGGCTCCCCAACATGCTGGGATTACAGGCGTAAGCCACTGCGCCCAGCCCTGAAATATTATTTTAAAAATGGGTTTACTTTTTTGGTCTATTTTCTCCATTACAATAGAAGCGCCTTGAAGACTGGGACTTTGTCCCATATCCTCAGTGGCTGAAAAAAGTGCCCAACACATAACAGTAGCTCAACAAATGAACGGCAAAATGGTAAAGATGGAGGCAGAACTGGCCCTGGTGTGGAGAGCTGCTGACCCCCAGTATTTGAGGCAGGGTGAATGAAAGACAGCAGCCACCAGAGGCTCAGTGGAAGGTGAGCTCAATCCTTGGCCTCGTTAGTACCAGCCTGCCATGTACTGAGCCACCTGCGTCTCACCGAGGCAGCAAGGAGAGCCGAGTCAGCAGATATAAATGCAAAAGGAATGATGAAATTATAATCACCCCCCGGCAATCATCCTTTTAATAACTGATTCCGGTAAGAATCAACAATGTTACAACTAGTGGGCAAAGGTTTGAGGAAGAGCAAGATATTTACATATTCTCAAAGAATCTTCTCACAAGATACATGTTAATTACAAAGGAGGAAATTATCTTTAGAGCAGAGAAATCTAGCAGACAACACCTTAGCCAAGCCAGTTAGACTACCGGAGAGGGGACAGGCTGAGCCCATTTGCCTCCTGATGTGATTCACTGGGAAGGCCAAAAGTTGCTTCTGTGATATTCCTGCCAAAGAGGCATGACTTAATCGAATCATGAAGAACCATCAGATGACCCAGATGAAGGACATTTTACACCATAACTGCTTCTATGCTTCAAAAAGATCAATGTCAGGAAGGAGAAAGAAAACCTGAGAAACCATTCCAGATTCAAGGAGAATAAAGAGACAAGAATTAAATGCAGCCTATTGAATGAAATTGTCTTTTGCCTTAGAAGGTATTATTGGAACCATTTGCAAAATCTGAATAAATTCTGTTGATTATCCAATAGAATTGTATCAATATCAATTGATACAATTAATAATAAGTGAACTGGGGTTATGTAAGAAAATGTCTTTATTACATACAAAGAGGAGCTGGTACCACTCCTTCTGAAACTATTCCAAACAATCCAGAAAGAGGGAATCCTCCCCAAATCATTTTATGAGACAAACCATCCTGATAACAAAACCCGGGAGAGACTCAACAAGAAAAGAAAACTTCAGGCCAATATTCATGATGAACATAGATGCAAAAATCTTCAATAAAATACTGGCAAACCGATGGCAACAGAACATCAAAAAGCTTATCCATCACAATCAAGTGGGCTTCATCCCGGGGATGCAAGGCTGGTTCAACATACACAAGTCTATAAATGTAATCCACTACATAAACAGAACCAAAGACAAAAACCACGATTATCTCAATAGATGCAGAGAAGGCCTTCAACAAAATCAACAGCCCTTTATGCTAAAAACTCTCGATAAATTAGGTATTGATGGAATGTATCTCAAAATAATAAAAGCTATTTATGACAAACCCACAGCCAATATTATACTGAATGGGCAAAAACTGGAAGCATTCCCTTTGAAATCTGGCACTAGACAAGGATGCCCTCTCTCACCACTCCTATTCAATATAGTATTGGCAGTTCTAGCCAGAGCAATCAGGCAAGAAAAAGAAATAAAGGGTATTCAATTAGGAAAAGAGGAAGTCAAATTGTCTCTATTTGCAGACGACATGATTGTATATTTAGAAGGCCCTATTGCTTCAGCCCAAAATCTCCTTAAACTGATAAGCAATTTCAGCAAAGTCTCAGGATACAAAATCAACGTGCAAAAATCACAAGCATTCCTATACACCAATAACAGACGTAAAGAGAGCCAAATCAAGAATGAACTGCCATTCACAATTGCTCCAAAGACAATAAAATACCCAGGAATACAACTAACAAAGGATGTAAAGGACCTCTTCAAGGAGAATTACAAAGTACTGCTCAACAAAATAAGAGAGGACACAAACAGATGGAAAAACATTCCATGCTCATGGTTAGGAAGAATCAATATTGTGAAAATGACCCTACTGCCCAAAGTAATTTATAGATTCAGTGCTATCCCCATCAAGCTACCAATGACCTTCTTCACAGAACTGGAAAAAAACACCTAAACTTCATATGGAACCAAAAGAGAGCCTGCATAGCCAAGGCAATTCTAAGCAAAAAGAACAAAGCTGGAGGCATCATGCTGTCTGACTTCAAACTATACTATAAGGCTACAGTAATCAAAACAGCATGGTACTGGTGCCAAAATAGAGATATAGACCAACGGAACAGAACAGAGGCCCTGGAGGCAACGCCACACGTCTACAACCATCTGGTCTTTGACAAACCTGACAAAGCAAGTACTTGGGAAATGATTCCCTGTTTAATAAATGGTGTTGGAAAAACTGGCTAGCCATGTGCAGAAATCAGAAACTGGACCCCTTCCTGAAACCTTACACTAAAATTAACTCCAGATGGATTAAAGACTTAAACATAAGACCAAACACCATAAAAACCTTAGAAGAAAACCTAGGCAAAACCATTCAGGACATAGGCACCGGCAAGGACTTCATGACTAAAACACCAAAAGCATTGGCAATAAAAGCCAAAATAGACAAATGGGACCTAATTAAACTCCAGAGCTTCTGTACAGCAAAAGAAACAATCATTAGAGTGAACTGGCAACCAACAGAACGGGAAAAAAATTTTGCAATCTACCCATCTGACTTACATCCAAAATCTACAAAGAATTAAAACAGATTTATAGGAAAAAAACAAAGAAACCCATTCAAAAGTGGGCAAAGGATATGAACAGACACTTTTCAAAAGAAGACGTATATGAGGCCAACAAACATGAAAAAATGCTCATCATCACTGGTCATTAGAGAAATGCAAATCAAAACTACATTGAGATACCATCTCACACCAGTTAGAATGGTGATCATTAAAAAATCTGGAGACAACAGATGCTGGAGAGGATGTGGAGAAATAGGAACACTTTTACACTGTTGGTGGGAGTGTAAATTAGTTCAACCATTGTGGAAGACAGTGTGGCAATTCCTCAAGGACCTAGAAATAGAAATTCCATTTGACCCAGCAATCCCATTACTGAGTATATATCCAAAGGATTATAAATTGCTGTATTATAAGGACACATGCACACATAGGTTCATTGCAGCACTGTTTACAGTAGCAAAGACTTGGAACCAACCCAAATGCCCAAAGATGATAGACTGGACAGGGAAAATGTGGTATATATAGACCATGGAATACTATGCAGCCATAAAAAACGATGAGTCTGTGTCCTTTGCAGGGACATGAATTAACCTGGAAACCATCATTCTCAGCAAACTGACACAGAACAGAAAATAAAACACCGCACGTTCTCACTCATAGGCAGGTGTTGAACAATGAGAACACATGGACACGGGGAGGGGAGCATCACACACTGAGATCTGTGGTGGGGGACTAGGGGAGGGAGTTGGGGAGGGATAACATGGGGAGAAATGCCAGATATAAGTGATGGGGATGGAGGCAGCAAACGTACATATATGGCAATGTACATATATGCAACAATCCTGCATGTTCTTTACATGTATTCCAGAACCTAAAATGCAATAAAATATATATATATTTTAAAAAAAGAGCCGGGTGCAGTGGCTCACACCTGTAATCATAGCACTTTGGGAGGCCGAGGTGGGTGGATCGCCTGAGGTCAGGAGTTCAAGACCAGCCTGGCCATCATGGTGAAACCCTGTCTTAAAAAAAAAAAAAAAAAAAAAAAGTCTTTATTAAAAAAGACACACACACACACATTGGAGTATTTAGGAGGAAGGGACATTACAACCCACTCTCACAATTCCAGGGGAAAGTAATAGAAAAATAGACACATTGAGAGAAAATAATAAAGCAATTGTGGAAAATTGTGCACATTTGGAGAGTCTGGGGGAAGAGCACGTGGAAATTCTTTGTATTATTCTTGCAACTTCTTGGTAAGTCTGAAATTAGGCTGAAATTGAAAGTTAAGTGAAAAACCAAGCCGGGCTTGGTGGCTCACGTCTGAATCCCAGCACTTTTGGAGGCTGAGGTGGGAGGATCGCTTGAGGTCAGGAGTTGAAGACCAGCCTGACCAACATGATGAAACTCTACCAGGCGTGGTGGCACCAGCCTGTAGTCCCAGCTACTCAGGGAACTGAGGCATGAGAATCATTTGAACCCGGGATGCAGAGGTTGCAGTGAGCTGAGATCACGCCATTGCACTCCAGCCTGGGCAACAAGAGCAGGACTCTGTTTTAAAAATAATAATAATAATAATAA